GGAAGGGCTAGAGTCAGAATGTGAGGACTGGTAGAAACCAAATGCTCAGTTGATGGCAGTGACCTAAGATTGGACAGGGGCTGTATTGCTGCTCTTGAGTACAGGCTGGGAGGGTCTCAGATTTCCTGTCCTGAATTTTGATTCTTGTACCCTGGGGTTTCTGATTTCTCTCCTACGAACACTTGCTTGTCTTTTGTTTTTTCATAATAGTCCTTAGTCCTTTCATAATAGTCACCTCAACAAGTTTAAGGTGATATTTTATTCCAGTGTCAGGTTTCCCTGAATATTGTTCATGTTGAGCACCTTTTCATATGCCTTTTCCCATTTTGGTGTGTTCTTCAGAGCAATGTGTACTCAGGTTCTTTGTTCAGTTTTATATCAGACTATTTCAGCTGGGCATAGTTGTCTATGCCTGTAATCCCAGCATTCTGGGAAGCTGGGACATTTAAGCTTGTGTGTTTGATTTATTTCACTTAACATTGCAGTCTCAAGGTGCATCCACTTTCCTACAAAGGACTCTAGTGCATTCTTCTCTATGGCACAGTAGTACTCCCAGACTAATTCTTTACTAAATTGGTTATGTGTGTTTTGAGTTGTTTTGCTTAGTTGTAAATTTTTTATTCATATTTTCTCAAAGATCACTGTTCAATTTGTTTTCAAGTCTATTATCTCTTTAGTCAGGTCATCATTATTTTCCCCTAGTTTTTTTTATTCTTTTTTTATCATTTTGTATAACACAATCATTAGATGTTTGATTTTTTTCCTCAACTGACGTCCACTGGACCTGCTATGGGCTAGTTGAGTTTTGGGAGGCATTTTGTTGTCTTTTTTTCTCCCGCATTTATGTGTGTGTGTGTGTGTGTGTGTGTGTGTGTGTGTTTGCATGTGTGTGCATGTGTGTGTGTACACACCACTGAGGGTTGAGGGCCTACTAGAGGGAAAGAATGTCGATAGTATGGAAATCTCTTTAGCTAGTTTCTGCTTCTCAAGGTTTCTAAAAGTGCCACGTCCTTTCAGACATTGAGTCTCACTCTTTCATCCATCTGAAGTTCTCTTCACCCACATCTTGCCTAACCTGACTCATTCTCACCCTGCCAGTCTCATTTCAGCTGTCAGGATTTCTGCTCTTCTTGCCTAAAGTCACCAGCCATAGCCCTCCCCTAACTCTGCCACAGCATGCTGGTTACCTCCCTCGTGGTGAGAATCATAACGTGCAGCTATGGTGCTGATTTATGTGCAAATGTGAGGAGTGATAATTCCTCCAGTTGCATTAGAAGATTTATGAGGTCAGGAGTTTTGTTTCTTGAACTCAGATATTTATCCTTAGTGCTTTTAGACAAGTGAGTGCCCACTTTAGTTCAGAAATATCTACTGCAGGAGCGAATGTATGTTGGTGGGACCCTCTCTCCTTCTCCCTGATTCTTCCTCTCATTCTCACCAACTCTGGCCTAGTGTGTGATGTCTGCTTTATCAAGGAATTGAGCTCAGTTCCCCTCAGCACTTTACCCCAGACTAGGACTGCAGTGTTCCTGTGCTGAGGGGCTGCTGCCAAACAGATGTAAACTCTCAGGGTCTGAGCCTTCTCTCACTCAGATGAACTCACCTCATCAGAAGGACTGAGTCAGCTCTCAGGAAATATCAGAGAGGAGGAAAAAGACATAACAAAAAGAGGGGCAGAATAAAAACTTCGGTAATCAAATAATTATGAAAACCTGCCCAAATTTTATTGCAAAATACAGCAATCAAAAACTTCCTGGGAAACAATTATACATAATCAGTTTTGGTACATGCTTTATAGGAGATTAGATCTTAAAAGGACAGGGTTTAAAATCACATCGTAGCTAATATATAAATGCTCTCAGTAAGCACAAGTGTCTGAGCCAGAGGGAAAGAACTCTTTTGCTAAGGATACAGCAAGCGGCATAAGCACTAGTGTCTTTGCTTCAGTGCCTCCTTCCCTGATGTACCTGATGGAGATACACTGTGTGTAGGCGGATGCTCTGTCTGCAGTGATGTGTGTCACATGGAGGACTGTGAGCTTGTAGAATTCTCTGCTTTAGTCCCTAGCAGTGAGCATGCTTTCACCTTGTCTCGGAGGGGCCGTTACCTTGTCTACAAAGGTTGCTGGCAGCAAGCATGTCTCTGGGATATGATAACAGCTGGTGCATCACAGCCTTACACTATTGGCACACTGAGTAAGACATGTAGGAGTAAAAGAGACACATGGTGGACTATCAGCAATATCCACTTGAGTCTCACATTGTGTTAGTTTCTAGAATATTTTCTCATAACTGTATCTCTTCGTCAGCCATTCTTATTTATTTAACAAAGACTGAGACAAAATACATTCAGTTTATCTCAAACATCATTAAATTAAAGTTAATTCTGCAGAAATTTATGCAGAATCATAAAACCAATGTGGAATATTAACACAATCCTGTTTCCTATTACCCCAGAGTCAGATGACTGTGAGAAATCTCAAAGTGAAGACATTTAGTATGTATGGTGTTATGCATTATAACTCACATAAGGGAGTTAGGACTCATGTTCTGCTCTTTGGTTTATCAAAAAGAGAACAGAGATCCACTATCATTCCTAAAAGAGAGACATGCTATGTCCTCTTTGCCCAGACATGAATATATATCCTGAAGAGGAATTTAGTCCTGTTATGGAAATAGTGTGAAACTATTTACTTTGGCATTACATTATTTTGTTAAACTACTCTAGCCGTTTTACAGAATGTTTTCAATTTTTTCTTGTATTAGGGAAGGAAAACTTCTGTCTAAGTGAGATAGAAGGGGTCCTAGTGGGTGACTTTATTTGCAACTCTTACATGCATTCATGGACTAACCCAGCACTAGCTAAGACATCATGTGCAACATATTTCTATCCATCAGATGGAGAAAATATTGTGATTTGCTTCTGGTTGTTTCATGTAAAATACACCCACATATATGCATCCCACCCAAACATGGGGATTGACTTGGAGCAAATATTTCTTAAATTGTTCTTAACTGAAGTGTTTGAGTTTGATGTTTAACAGTTTCCATTACGTGTGTGCATTTTCTGTATCTCATTTATCACTATCCTGAGTCCACAAGATGGCAGCATCTTCTCAGGCACCCTGAGGATGGTTTCAGGTTCTCCTTGGACAGTGTGTGTGTGTGTGTGTGTGTGTGTGTGTGTGTGTGTGTGTGTGTGTGTAAATGCATATGAGGGAGAGAGAGGCAGAGACATAGAGAAACACAGAGAGTGAGAGACAGAGTGAGAGGGACAGGGGGAAACAGATCAGCAGGGGGTCTTGGCTAACTTGATGGCTCAAAGAACTTTTTCTAATTTTGAGAGGAGGTGCATTTATTCTTGCTTCCTGCAGCACAAGAATAAAAATATTTGAAGAAGCTTTGTAGAGTTTGAAATCTGAATCCTCAGTGAACAGAAGCAAGATCATGAAGTCCTTTGGTGTCCTACTAGTGATCCTTTGGCTTCAGTTCATTTGTAAGTATGGGTATTTTGGGGGGAACTTAAAGTACAATGTGAAAAATTGTTGTCTGTGCCAGGACTGTGGGATGAATATGAATGGTTTCATCCTCTAAATCAGGAGGCTGTGAAAGCACTGGAAAGATAATTTCTACTCTAGAGAGGAAGTGCCCACTACTCAACCAATCTTCTCTGCCTGTTGTCTTTTTGCACAGGGGTGAGCAGCCAGCAGAAGGAGGTGGAGCAGAGTCCTGAGTCCCTCAGTGTCCCAGAGGGAACCATTGCCTCTCTCAACTGTACTTACAGGGATAGCACTTCTAACACCTTCAGGTGGTACCGACAGCATCCTGGGAAAGGTCTGGAGTTGCTCATGTCTGTATACTCCAATGATGACCAAGAAGAAGGAAGATTCAGAGCACATCTCAACAGAGCCAACCGCTATGTTTCCCTGCACATTAGAGACTCCCAGTCCCTTGACTCAGCTA